ATCAAAATGGAAACTACTATTTATATTTTAGGTTCATACCTTTCTTCCAGGTTTGCCCTGTTAATGTCATGCGCTCCAGGCTGGGTTGAGAAGGACGAGTTCATCAGTCAGCCAGCAATGGTCAGGCGTCCGCTTGAGCTCAAGTAGCTCATTTTATGACACAAGGCAAAGAGTCATCCAACAGAGACCCATCCAAAGCGTACATACACCGCGGTAAAACTCCAAGCATTATCCGTGAAAAGGTTCTCTTTCAGCAGAAGGTTTTCAATTGAACAGAAGCAACGAGGTTTGCAACTTGCGAAAATCTGTGTGGCATTCAAGACATTTCCATGCACCTGACGTTGACTTGGAGTTGTAGTTGGGTTTACCTCAGCGAAAAGATTGATACGAAGTAAGAAGCTCAATAATGATGACTTACGCACTGCTGCGATACGCAGATTCAAAATTGGTGGAGGGGTATGGTGCCCAGAATGAACAACCGAAACCACCCCTTTCGAGTGGTACGTGACATCACGGCCCCCTAGTCTGAAGTCCTTATGCTCAGGATCATCATCACATCATCACATCATCATCATCATCATCATCATCATCATCATGGGTACTGGCGTTTCTGGTGTGATGTAGCATTTACTGAGAGCATCGCTTTGTGCTTTATCATCGCTGTCAGAAGGTAGCTGCACTTCGCATCATGATCAGGACAAGAACTCGTAGATGTATTAGAACAGTACAAAAAGAAGAATTGTAATTTCAAGTAATCTTGCTGAGTTTCCTAATGTCACGCGAGGTGTGAAGGCGTTCCAGGCTTGCAAGGCAAAGGTTTGTGCCCGTGTGTAGGGGGATCCTTTGGTTGAATAATCCTGAGGGACTTATGGATCCACAGAAATTTGCCCGCGGGAACTTTTGCAGAGGTACGACCTCAGGAGTGCAAACCTGAAACCTTTGACCGCTCCAGAGTAGGTATGTGGCAGCAGCCCGCTGGACCCTCGCCCAGCTCAATGGGCGGACGGATCGGGATGCCGCTTGGCCGGTTCTCAGACTAGGGATGTTTGTTCCGGGCTCCCTATGACGAGCGGGGTACTCTGTACACCAGTTGTTGTAGGTGCAACGAAGCTCTGATTTCGCCAACTTCCCCCAGAAGTGAACAGGCGTCATCATCCTATTCACATATTAGGGGCCGCGTGTAGTCCAAGCGCAAATTCTTGACATCAAGACTCAAACGGCCCAAATCCACGTCCGCAGATGCACAAAGGGCCCCTTTCAGGTTCACTGTCAGCTTAGAGGAGGATGGGAATTCGATCGCTCGATCTATTCTATTGTGGATTCTGTGGGCCGCTGCGCCAAAGGACAAAACCAGCGGCACAAGATCAATGACGCCAGAACACCAGGAAGAGCCTGTTTGTGTGCATAGTATGGCAGTATGGCAGGACAGGACATTTGTGGAGATGTTGTACACAGCCTTCACAGCGCGGGCCCGAGTTCCTGTGATGAACGGTGGAGGGCATGCCCGGTTTCAGTTCTGGATAGCTGGCAAGTGAGGATGGCCGTGCACCTCAAAGATATAATTGGGGGAAGTGGGACTTAGTATGTATACTCATAACCATAATAAGCCATATAGTAACCCATTACTAACCTACTTACTAAGTCCCCTGACCCTCCAAGTAGTCTCATCTTATCGATGTACTGTCGGTGGATGGTGCTTCTCATGCAGCATGACACCCAACATGCCAGGCTCACCCAAGGTCCGAAACGATGCTATTGACCGAGGCCTGCTTCACGCTCATCTTCATGTCCATCTTCGTGTCCAGTCTGACGTCGCGGATGCTTCAGCTGCAGCAGCTCATGGACAAAGAGTCAGGACCCGGGATCAGCGCTGCGAACGGCAGACCGCATAATGTCTTGGCGGTTGACGTTTGCCTCGGTTGTTATACAGCGGGCTTGCCATCAGTTTGGGCTATAGTGGCCTACGCAGACTATTTTTGCAGCTCGCAGGTTCTTAGCAGACCCTGCTACTGGCGAACGCACGCAAACCTGTGCGGCTCTGTAATCTTCCCGTCATCCTTTAGTATGCTGGCCCTGCAGGCTACAAGCGCCTCCTCCAGAGATATCGAGAGATGCAGGGTCCTTACGTGTAGGGTTTGCTGCGATGCCAGGCTAGCACAATGCTAAGCAGTAATCGGCGCAATAGACTTCAATTCTCCCCAATTTGAATGTGCGGACGGCAGCGCCATCGTTGAAGGATTGGGTTCTGAAGAATCGTATGTCAGGGCAAAACATATGTGTACACATCATTGGGGGTTCACCTCAGAGCCCTACCACCAGCGTTCGCAGAACGTTGCTGGGGTTTCGCGAGCTTCGCGTGGGTTCACGGAACCTTCGCGGAGTTTGTAGAACCCTTTGAGGAGTTGGTAGAACTTGTTCGCAGAACCCTGTTTGAGAACAATATCGGTGAACTCTCTAGGGCTCGGCTTACCCTAGGGGGCGTACTCACAGGGAGGTGTACACATACAATTCTCCTCCAATATGGAAGAAGCGGTTTAGGGCGTAGGCCTCACCCTGCATAAGTGAAGCTATTCTTCTATACGGCGTTGAAACTTGGGCGGGCCAAGGCACTCGTTGTCCTACACCACGGTCTACCTGGCAAAGCGCCACATCAAGGCTGGGGCCGGCATAGTTTAGGGTTCAGGGTTTAGGGTTGAGGGGTTAGGGTTTGGGGTTCAGGGTTTAGGGTTTGGGTTCAGGGTTTAGGCTATACCCATAGTATATTCCCATATTCCCTACTAAGAACCCCAATATGCACCCTATTCTTATGTAGTAGTTTTCATTTTCTTTTCCATTATCCCTACGTAGGGTTTAGGGTCCAGGGTCTAGGGTTTAGCTGGTGCAAGGAGACTGGGAGTTTCCCTAAGTGGGGGGATCCCAATAATAGACACCCCGAGATACCGGGATCCTTAGTATAGGAATCCCCAATAACAGGGTACCCCTAATTTCAGGAAACCTTCCGGCTGCAAAGTAAATGCAAGAAAGCAGGCTACAAGTTTCTGATAATAGTAGTAGTAAAAATGAACGAACAATAACGGGTACTAATAATAATGTCGACAATAATATTACAAATAACAACAATAACAATGGATTTTTTGCGCAACATTCGGCTGGGTAGAAGTGGCGCATAAATGCAAATTGCTTTGATGTGGGCGGATGACGATCAGACAGCATTGCTCTGACAGCATTCCAGCTGATGAACTCTCTCCTAACTTCTTCCACTTGCATCAACCAATTTGGAGAACTTCCACCTTCCAAAATATGCTCCCTTACACAGGACCGTACCAACTTGGACACCGACCTCGACACTGAGGCCTCGTGCGGCTCTATTATATCCAGGACTTACGGATATCCTGAGGATCGCGTATCTGGTTTTTCATGAGGACTTTTCTTCAGCAAAGTCTGTCCGTGAGTGCAGTTTGTTTTCAGAGGACTGGGGGTCTTCATAGTGATGTGCACAGGCATGTGAGCTTCGCATATTGAGGCGTTTCTGCAGTTGATGGGCTAAGATGGCATACGCTTGTATCCACCAGGTATAACTCCTACACAAAGGCTCGGCCGACAGCATAAGAAGAGAGTTGCTTGCGGTACTCATACTTGTCTGAATAGCACCCCAGCTCCAGCAACGAATAAAAGCTAGAATCTTGGGTTGCTGCTAAGGAACTTAAATCACAATGAGAAAACCCTATTATCTACTGACTATGAACCCCTACTACAGTCATTTAACTTAAGTTCCTTAACGACAACCCAAGATCTTGGTGGCAAGCCCTAAACTGCTGCTTCCGGCAAGGCTCAGCTGCTTCGATTACTGCCGGTGCAAACTCAGGCCTCGTATGGAAGTTTTCCCAAATTAGGGGTACCTTTCGAGAGTTTAGAGGGGGTATTAGGGGGATACAGGGTTGCCCAAAATTAGGGATTCCTTTTTGGGGGTCCCCATGATAAGGATTTCTTTTCTTGGGGGTCTATTGGGGAACCCTGTTTAGGGAAACTACCAGATCAGTATTGGCACTGCAGGGAAGTGGGTTCAGGGTTCTGGTGTTCAGGGTCTTGTTTACCGTTGCAGGATTACGGGGTATGGTTAAGGATTGCAGGCTTAGGAAGGGTTTTGGATCATGAAGTTTGGGGGTTAATTCGGAGTTCACCTTCTTGTGGAGGATTTTTCTGTTGACTTCAAGTCTGAAGGCGTTTTAACTCCTCTTGTATCACGCTTGCAGGCTTGCAGTACAAATTTTGGAACACTCGGACTAACGCCCGGTGTCCCAGAAGTGGCTGAGACTGAGCAAGTATTTCCAGGCAGTCTCCTTTTTATCCCACGAGGCGCTCAACCTCCGAATTTTCAAACAGCATCAGTGAGATAGGCTAGTCTTGGGGCATCATTGAAGGATCTTGAAGCATTGCCTGTGAGCTCTAAAGCTACAAACCACCATCAGCCTTCCGCCTAAGATCATGGCTTTCTTCAAGCATGGCCTTAACAAATATGCATACACCCCTCTGTGCAAAGTGCACCTTACCATGACAACTTTCATGAAGTTAGGTTTGCTTTGGATTTCACGTAGGTTGTGCAAAGAGTTTTGTATATACACGCATCCATGCCTGCGTGCATATCTGAGCTTGGTCTGGGTCAACTGCTCGGAAACCAGATGCCAATGTCTAGTGACACTCTCTGCAGCTATTGAAGCTTGACGCTCCCCAAGACTGTCAAGAGCGAAATGCTGCGTGGTAGCTACACTTCCAGGGTTGCTGGACCCAAGGGCAAGCTCTGAGAGAGCCGATGTGCCTTCACCAGCCAAAGTGCTCTGTGTCTGTAACGGCGGAAAGGCAAGCTTTCGGTGCGTTATGGTTTTGCGTTGTTAAACTTCCTCGTCAACATGCTGCCATCAAGATACTTTACCTATCCCCAGCCTACCCCTATAGGATTCCTTCCCGTAGATCTGCAGCCTGAACTGCCGCTCATTGCCGCCATGGCTGCGCCGGCCAAGCCCAGCCTGAAGTCTTTGCTGGCAAAAGGCGAGTTGCTGATCGCACCCGGCATCTTTGAGCCTTGGCTTCAGGGAGCTTTCTTGCGTGCCTGGTGCTGAAGGAACATTGGAGTCGTGTTTCTTGGGGTCGCGATTGGTATCCATTGTTTTATTAAATGCTCAGGCCCAGGCACAGAGTCAGATGCTTCCGATCCAAAGTCATGCTCACGCTGTGTTCAGAACCTGCAGACCTATGGCGGCTTTCGCGGAAGGTCCATGGGCTCATTTAGATCTTGCCAAGCTCAAGGAACAGCCGACAACGCATACTAAGTTACTAAGAAGAGTTTCGGGAAGTGTCCATCAAGTCCCATTTGACTTTGTTTCAACCAGTCCAGATCAGCGATGGGCGACGTAATGCAAGCAGTTTGTTTTCAGGGGCAACAGCTGAAGCATCAACTTGTGACATTTGCACTGCAAGGATGGCATCTCTGCTCGCGTGGCTGAGAAGGCAGAGTGAGCCACCTCCCCATACTCCCCAGTATAAAGTAAGACTCTTCCCTCCTTCTTGGTATAGTATCTTATTAGAAGAAGATAACCTTACTTGCTTTAGCTGCGAGAAGACGTTATTCAAGTGGATCTTTCTCGATCTTTGCAGCAATCAGGATGAGGTCTTGTCACTGCAAGTGCGAAGCACGACCCCCAACGGCGGTGGACTTCCCAATACTATCAAAAGTTGGGTACTGCCCCCCTCATTAACAGTTGGATAACACTTGTGATAACTTAATAGGACCCCTATTATAGACTATTGATGGATGGGGTCAGGACCCAACTCAAAAGGATTGACATTGCACTCCACGCTCGGCAGGTTGGTTTCAAGGCGCTGTACATGACAGGCAGGGCTTGTGCATTCTCTGGATGGCATGCTGCCGAGGAACCTGTAAGAAATACGTGGCTACAGCATCTATCCTTGAATTGCTGCGCTCTGAAGCCGTCAGAAGTCAACATTCACAAACATGCTGCCAGAGGCTTCGGCACCGTTGGCAGCCACCTGGGGCTTCCAGATGCCGGCCTGGCCTCCTACCGCGATATGGTTGAGAGGGTCTGTTGGCGGCAGATGACGTAAAGAGCGGGAACTATGTGATACGGTGACATTCAACCTGGCTTGTGTTTGCTTGGAATGGAAGGTGCGCTGCTTGATTTTGAGTCGCGTGCAAGGTGCGAACCCTCACTGCTCTTACCTCCGTGCCTGTGATTTGCGACGGCGACACTGGCTTTGGTGGTCTTTTGAACGTGGCTCACCTGTCAATGACCGAAAAAAGGATATATATGACACCCTAAGCGGATTGAATGGAAAGGGACACGACAGTCACAACGCATGAGGGTGGTTGAAACTGTCTATGCCCAAAATTGATGGGTCCTAGGGTCCCTGCTTGAAGTCTTTGGCCATTCTCAACAGCGGGGCAACCCTCACATGGGATTGGCAGCTGTGGTGGGCTGTCAGTCAAACAACTTGTTCAGCGGTTTGCTTGGACCTGGGGGATGTGTCTTCTCCTACCTAATCCGGATCTGAGGTAGCTCACACTGTCAAGGGATACGCGCCTTAGCAGCAAGAGGTAGAGCTGGTTCTTAGTAGTGAATGAGGGGATGTCATCTTTATGACCTTATATGCTATATTCCCGTATTCCCTACTAAGCACCAGCAAGAAGAACGTGGCAGAAGTTTTAAGGCAAGAGGCTGTGACAGCCTGCAGGAGCTTACAACTTGCTTGGCACATTTGCAGCACTCTTTCAATTACTGGTTCTTAGCAGGGAATGGTGCAACATAGTAAACGGGGTTTACATAGGGATTATATTCCCTTATTCCCTACTACGAACCAGTAAGTTCAGACAATGGACCATTTAATATGCAGGTTTCACGGTTGCCAAGAACAGCTGAGTACATCCTGACCGAGTCACTTCAACAGCTTTGTGGTCCTTGGTCATTCCTCCAGCCGCATCAGAGACTGTATCTTAGGAGGAGGCGGGTGCGAGCGCCATCCAGCTAGAGGACAGCAGCTTCTTGCATCTCTGACTGCGCCAGATGTGTGTACTGATCAACACTGACTCCATGACACCCGCCTATCAGCATATTTCACTGCAGAAAACCACAGCAAGGGGCTCAGCATGTCGAGAACCCGCACGTAAAAGCTTGATTGCAGAGGACCTAGGTTTTGTTACTCACACCTGGACTTGGAATGATTCTGGCGCCTCCCACTCTAGGACCAGGAGTTCCCCAAGAAATGTGGCCACACGCCTGGCCGCAAGGCCGGATGTTCAAGCAAACAGGAAAAGGCGACAGGTGATGCTGGCAGAGACCGCATGGTACACTCTGTAGGGTTATACTAGGGTTATATTGGGGTTACATTAGTGTTGAGGGGAAAGCTCTGCACCAAACAGACAGTTGCCCCCAAATGCTCTGCAGCAGAGAAGGTCATTCCTTTCGAGCAAGCGGTGGCCAAAATTCGCGTGGCCGCAGAGGCAACAAACCTGACTAAAGCATTGTGGGAGCATTGCACACTGAAGTAGAGCTTGAAGAAGCAAACCCTCTGAGTGTTGGTTGTGCGCGCATGATGTTGACAAGTTTCGGCGGTTTGCCTCAGAGTGAGGGGAGATGCTCTTGTCCGGAGAGGGTCATTGCCTAATGCACTGCAAGCCCTGTACAAGACAACTAGCACCAATGAGCAGCTGATTTCCTTATTGGCTTTCACATGGCAGTCTTACACGCTGCCTGAGTGGGGCTCTGTCTGTGTGAGAGATCAAAGTGGGTTACACTTTCCAACAGTACTTGTATTATCCTAAAGCCGGGACCGCATGATTTCCTTCCTCGCCAAAAACACATTATAGTCCAATGCCCTGTGTATACTGCCAAAATACCAGGCAGCAATCTGGGACATGATCAATCATGTCTTTGCGGACAGGCGCGGACCTCTCCGGAGTTCCTCATCGTGGCTCGAACGGATGCCCGTACCAATCTAGGACCGGAGGGGTGCTATATTGGGGCCCTAAACCCTAAACCCTAAACCCTATAATATGAATGCCCTGGCATGAGCAGGCATGAGCGCTTGGTCAAATTGGGGATACGTGAAAGGCAAGGTAGGTTGCCGGTCATGCAAACTAGTTCGGAGTCGTTGCAGTTGTTGCAGCTGCTCCATGCTGGTGCACGTCGATCTCATTGATTGTCATGTGGCTTGCAGGACTGGAGGAGGCAATTCGCCGCGCCAAGGCCTTTGCAGAGGCCATGGGGGTTTCGCTTCGATGTTGGTTCAATCAGAACGTATCCTGGGAGGCAGTGCCTGCGCTTGCTTTCCGTGTCTGCAGCAAACTCTAAGGCTGGCGCCGATATCCTCTTTGTTGAGGCGCCTGAGTCTGAGGCCCGTTTGCTATCAACATACTGGCCAACAGCCCGTTTGGGTGCAGTCGTTACGCAAGCCAGTAGCTGAGGCAGGGTGAAGATTAGGCTACGGTAGCACCCTTATGCCACCATGTGGCCCAGCACCTGGCTCCAGGCAGAGATGAAGCAAATCTGCGACACCCTCGCGCCAACTGGCAAAGCAATGCTGGTCAATGCAGTCGAAGGCAGAGACCAGGAAGGGCCTAGACGTTCCTGGATGACGTAGAGAGATGAGCACCCCCAGCGCAGCGTGTTGTATCTCTGTTTTTTGGTTGGCAGGCAGACTGCTTGTCGTCGTGTAACATATTTTTATGATCAATACACTTGCAGTTTGCTTGCGTTTGGGTACTGCGGTTACTGCGGTGTCAGGTGGCAAGACGCCTGTGCTGCCGCGAGAGCGATACATCGAGCATCTCAGATTTCAACAAGACAGTGGACTCAGTACCCGTACCAGACTGGGCCATCAAAGGTTTGTGGGATACTACTCCCCCTATATAATCCCTATGTACAGGAGTTCCCATTTCATTTTCCATTCTCTTGTACTAGCCTTCAACCCTGGTTCCTATGTCCTATGTAGCCCTGAATAATTTGCATATGAGCAACTGTCAATATTTGCCGTTCCCGGGGACCCTGCCCTGAACAGTGCACATAGGGGTCCCGCTTGTAGTTTAGTACAGTCCCTACTATGATCCTTGATAAGGAACCTATGTCCATTAATCATTAAACTATGCAGGAAATTTTGGCTGTAGCTCAGATACACCCTATACCCCAATCTGCTATAGTAGTTTCTATTTTCTTCCAGTATCCCTATATACCCCCAATATACCCTAAACCCTAAACCCTGGCACTCGCTCGGTCCTTGGGGCCTTCGTCCGACTGCTGGTTGAGAGATCGAAAAGAGCGCTACCAAAACAAAAAGCACCTGACCCCCATAATCCCTATCGTTTCCATTTTCTTTTCCATTGTCCCTATATAACCTCAATATATACCCCAACATATGAACACTCTAAACCCTAAACCCTAAACCCCAATATATGAGCACCCTAAACCCTGAGGCTGGGTTACCAGGTGGCCATTTACCCGGCGACCGGCTTCCTGGCCATGGGTAAAGCCTTGGAGAACGTCTACAGGCCCGGCAGGTTGAAGGATTCGGGTTTAGGGTTTAGGGTTCGTGTCGAGTGCATTTTTGGGGGGGATCAGGGTTGCAAGCTTCGAGATTGTTAGGTTGAGGGTTTAGGACATTGCCCTCAGTCCGTGCTCAAAAAAAAAGGTCAAGGACAAAGTTCAGAGCAAGTCATGATGCTGATTCGCTGCAGGGTTTCTAGTTGCATTCAATGTCATCACCCTAAACCCTAAACCGTGTGGCTGGCTGAGTCCCTGAGCCGACGATTGTCCAGGATGTCGGACAGGGTTTAGGGTTTAGGGTTTAAGGTTTAGGGGTTTAGGGTTTAGGGTTCAGGGTTTAGGGCTTAAGATCCTCAAGTCTTGCTAACCACAGTGCCTTCATCCCCAGTGCTTGAAGATCCCTATCCCTGCTATCCCTACTCCCGATACAACAACATCCGGCCTGACTTTATACTGCCATAATTCCCCAGGTAGAATGTAATTACTGGCCTTTGGAATGAAGGAATGAATCCTTGTAGAAGTCCTTATATAATCCATTATAGCAGTTTCCATTTTCTGTTCCATTCCTTCATTCCCAGCTAGCAAAAGGCCAGATTAGGGTTCTGAAGGATTTTCATCATCCGCCCCCGAGTTCTGACGAACCCACTAAACCACTAAACCCTAAACCCTGAGCCCTTCGTGGCAGGTGGCCTTCACGAAGCCGAGCAAGGCGCGACGATCGCAAGTCCTTACCTCTCTCTATCCCCCTGAAATAGGGGTTTATGGGTCTAGGGTTTTGGGTTTTGGGGTTTAGGGTTTTAGGGTTTTAGGGTTTAGGGACCTACATTACATGGGTAGTTCCCAAAGTTTGGGCCCCATTCTTGGTACCCCTCGCGATCAGGTGCCGTGACATACTCTATATCCAAAAGGATCCAGAATTTGCCCCTATCGGTCTCCCTACATGTCTGTCTCTCTATCTGTCTGTCTATCTCTCTATATCTGTTTTTCTTTCTAACTGTCTATCTATCTGCCTCTCTCTCTCTCCCTTCCTCCGTCTCTCCCCTTGACCAAAGGCTCCTAAGCACATTCTCAGGGGGAGAGAACCCAAGCACTTAGGGTTTAGGGTTTAGGGGTTTAGGGACCCGACTCCTAGTATAGAAAACGTCGTACCATATACAGATACGTCTGCATACTTGGGATCCTCGGGGATTGTAATGTAAGGTTTAGGGTTCAGTTGATTTCAGGACTGGATCGACATCAAGCTAAGGCTGATTTCTTGTTGCACCGCAGGGGCCTGAGTAATGACCAACATCACTTTGAGGTCTTCTTGATGCAAACTATACAATGATTATACAGGGAATCTGGGACCACAAGAATGGTAGTTATCCAAATTAGATTCCTATATCAAGCCAGCGCCCATTTCATTGTACATTATTGTTTCCGTGTCATTCTTCACTGTGGGTATCTTGAAGCCCATACACGCCTACATAATCCCTATATCTGCGTATAACCTTGTAATATTAGGCCAGGTTCGTGCTTGCAGGCGTCCCTGCTTCAGGTTCAGGGTTTAGGGTTTAGTTCAGGGTTTCAGCTGAAGTGCGGTTTAGAATCCACTTTTTTACGGCCCTCTGCTTCTTGTGGCTGCTTCCTAGAAAAGCTCATGGCCTCAATGTCTCGTCCACGTTGCCCAACCCCCATGAACCCCCAAATCAACCCAGTTTCGAAGTAATTTTAGGTTTCTTATCTATTTTGATTCTCCAACCCGAAATCCTAGTTGTGTATTTCGAAATAACCCCTGTATCCTCTTTAAGGGGGCCTCGTTAGCCCCATGCGTCCCTCGCTGGGGCCCCTTGATGCTCAAATTTTCGCTCAACAGCCCATTCAGCTCAAACCCTAAAACCTGAATCCTGCAAGCCCTAAAGTGTGTAAACCCTTGAAAACTTAACCCCCAAACCCTACACCCTAAGCCCTAACCGTGTTCCAAGCTTTGCAGTTAGCAGGCTAAAATATACCCCTAATATTACCCCAATATATCCTCAATTAATACAACCCCAACATCACCCCAATATAACCCTAATACTACCCCAATATTACCCCAACATAACACCAATACAATCCCAATATAACCCTAATATTACCCCAATAGTACCCCAATCAGGAGCTCAATGATGTGGAGAAAGTTAAGCATGAGCCCACGAAGCCCGAGAAAGCTCCCGAGAAGGCTGGGACTGATGTAGGGGCCTACATAATGAGGGTGCAGTGTTTAGGGTTTAGGGCTTATAGGGTTTAGGGCTTAGGGCTTAGGGCTTATAGGGTTTAGGGTTTAGGATTTAGGGTTTAGGGTTCAGGGTTTAGGGTTATGTCGGAGCCCGCATGGGGGTTTCCCAAAATTAGCGGTACCATAATAAGTTATATTGGGATTATTTTGGGGTAGTATGGGGGGTAATACTACTAGGGTTATATTTGGGTAATATTGGGGTACTATTAGGGTTCCCTAAACCCTAGAAACCCTAAACCGCGTCACCAATATTCCGAGGGATCCTTCGATATTCTCACCATGAAGCGTAATAAAAAGAAAACTACCCCATCTTAGGTTTAGGGCTTAGGGTTATACAACCCCAGTTGCCTTTCCATTGTTCGATTTCTTTTCCCTCTTCATTCTCCACTATTGGGGTCGTGTCCCTAAACCCGACTTCATAATAGGCATAACGTGACTAAGCGTGATTTAAGTTAAGGGGTTCAGGGATTCAGGGCTTAGATTGGCAGACTACGGGTGAACCAAATGGGAAATCAAATAGAAACTGGGTTCACATAGGGGTTTAGTACTCATAGTGATTCGGGGCCTAGATAGTTGGAATAGGCTCGTGAGGTATGTTCTTCCTCGGTTTTATAGGCAGGACAAGGGTCTATTCTTGGAAGCTAGAAAGGCTTCTCAGCCGGTTTATGGGTCTACGGGTCCAGAAAAGCAGCCAAACGCAAGAGTAATGCTAACGTTCATGTGCAGAAGCAGCTATATTTGATGTAGTAGCTTGCAAACTCTAAACCATAAACCCTGAATCCTAAACCCTAAACTCTTAACCCTAAATCCTGAACCCTAAACCCTAAACTCTTAACCTTAAACCCTAAACCTTACAGTAGCTGAGCCAACCTTTTGCGTGTCCCCTACGAAGTGCCGGTCTGGGCGGATTGCACAGATAAGACCAAGCCCCGCTTTCAGGTTCGGCTTAACGCTTACAAACATTGTGGGGTACCTTTCAAAGGGAGATATAGGTTCTGGGTTTAGGGTTTAGTTTAGTTTTTAGGGTTTGGTTTTTAGGGTTTAGGGTTTGGGGTTCGGGGTTTAGGGTAGGGTTTAGGGTTTCCCAAAGTTAGCCTTACCCTTGTTGGGGGATGTCTATAGTAAGGATTATAGTAGGGTCATGAAGGGGTACTCTAATTTTGGAAAATTACAATTTGGGGTTTAGGAGGCGTTCAGCTGAAGGTCTATAAGTGAAAGCTTGGGTACTGCCCCCACTCAGTAACAGTTGGATAATTATATACTATGGTTATATATAGCCCTTAATAGGACCCCTAGAATAGGCTGTTACTAGGGGGCGGCAGTACCCAAGTCTAAGCCCATAAGGGTTTAGGGTCTTGAGTAGAAGCGCAGCTTCAATCTGTAAATGTAAGCTTCCTAAGTCCCCTAGAATGGTTAAAACTGGGTTGTAACTGCCCTGAACCTCTAAGGCACGGAAGCCGGACCGGCTTAAGATTAGTGTTCGGACTTGAGGCTCATATGAGGGTTTAGGGACTATCAGGTTTAGGGTTCAGGCGTTAAAGGATCGGAGTCTGGGTTGAACTTACAAGGGCAGACGACGATAGAAATCACCCAAATGGCCCAAGTAGCAGTATAGTATGCACTTGAGTCCCAAAGTAGCTATAAGGGAACCCCTTCGGTCTACCGCATGACGACATGAGTTCTCTGGGTGACCTAACCTTTCCCATCAAAGATGTGCAGGTTGCTCGACGTCCACGTGAAGTCCGCATCGACGCGACTACGACGCTTGCAAAGCTTGGGGAACTACAAGTAACATGAGCCCACACTCCCGAGCCCAGAACTAGGGTTTAGGTGGGTTTAGGGTTTTGGGGTTAAGGGTTTTGGGTTTAGCCCAGAATGGAAAAGCAAATGGAAAGTACTATACAGGGCTTAGGGATCACCCCTACGTGGCTCAGGCTTCGGTAGTCGGATGCCAGGTATCTGTCTGCAGCCTAGTACCAAGGTGTTCAATTTCAGTGCCTAAACTTGTTCTGTCATGGGCGCTTAAAATGTTACTTCACACCCGGGCACGCAGGCCGGTCTTTCGAATGGTATTTTGGAAATGCACAGGTAAAGGTAAACCCTGCGCCGCCTGAACCCGAACTCATTCCTGTCGTGTTTTGTCGGAGATCCCGGGACGGAAAATCTCAACATGCTCTCCATAGAGCCCTCAACAGCGGGACCCTCCTTGTACTTTTTAAATAATTTTGGCATATGGTCCTTATTTAGGGTATATAGCGGGTAGATGGAGGGTCTAGGGACATGATCTTCATAACAAGGCTCCCTAAAACTGAACTATAACTGAACTGAGCGTCAAGATCCTTGATCTCCTAAGGTAACCCTCACTGAACCGCGGGGTTTAGGGTTTAGGGTGGCACTTTGGCATAACCCGATTGTTGAGGTTTAGGGTTTAGGGTTTAGGGTGGGTTTAGGGTTTAGGGTTGCGGAAGGGAGCCTATTCGCAAATAAATATTCGTAACTGACTTCGGGTTCCCATAACCCGGAGCCAACCAGTACCCAGACCCCAGGAAGGATCTAGAAAGGAGAGCCCCGCAATACTATGGTACCAGTTTCTAAGAACCCTGCAGGGCGTTCAGCATTCGAAGCCTTAAGCACTAAAATCCTAAACCCTAAGGGTTTAGGGTTTAGGGTGTCGAAGCCCTACCCTAAACCCTAAACCCTAAACCCTAAACCCTAAACTCAACTCTGAAATACCCCGAGGATGGTTCC